AACCGCTCTGGCAGATGAAAGAGTTCTTTGCATTGCTTTACAGTGCAATCCTACTTATGTTTCCTGAGGGAGCTATGACACTGACATATTTCCCTCCTCCTCTTTGTGTGCTGAGATGGAAAACTACTTATCTATACATAAATTTAGATAAAGAATATTCTTAGCCAGAATGGAGTTATTTCCTACGTGCCGGGGCCTTGGATGTAATGCAAGAGAGAAGCCTTTCCCTCCTATTGCTTTGTTCTCTTTGCTGCTAAGACCTGAACAAAATCAGGTACCGGAAGTCTCTTCTTTGCTGATACAGACCAGATCCTAGGCAGAAAAGACATAAAGAACAGTGCTTCTTTTGTACTGCTTTATTTTTACTTCTCTGTTCGGTGGACTAAGAGTGTCCTGGGCTGCAGACTGTGGCTGGTAACCCTGTTCCTTGGGCACAATACACCTAACTCACTTCAGGATGAAATTCATTTGTGCAGGAAGCAGAGCCTTCCAGGTGCCAGACCAGGATAACACATCACCCTCTCCTACACTACATATAAAATGCACTTCCTTAGATGTTGCCTTCTTGAATGCGCACAACTGTGGACTTTTGAGACGCATGCACAAATCTCCCCTCGGTAAAACTAAACATGGCATTCGGCATGTTCAATCTCTTCTAGGAAGAAGAAGAAAAAGCGGAGAATGATATATACCTGATGCTAGTCATACTGTATGATGCACTACAAAGACCCAATGCTGATGGGGCAGTACTATCAAAGTACTATCAAAACACCATCAACTTCAGTTACAAACTAAATACACATCAAATAAAACCTGAGGTTGAATAAAGATATAAAAATGTCAAATATGAGAAAGTCAACTGATTAAAAGAGAAAATATATGAAATTACAGTCTGTAAACTTTAAGACAATAGTCTATCAATAAGCCAAGAAAACGCGGTGTTGGTGAAACAAGGCTAATTCTCGTTACTGATACATATTTAACCCTAAAAAGGTTGATATTCTGTGTAAAATAACGGCATTTTACCAACCTTGCAGTAGGCTCATTCCTATCATGGTAAACATTTATTCGACCAACAAATCTACAAGAGAAAACCAGAAGTAGTTTAGCAGCAAAGCTTATATGCATATTATTATATAGATATGTCCCAAAATTTTGATTTTTTTTAAATGTACCTTACAAGGACATGTAATTCTCTCTATACATACAGTATATACACACAAACACACATATGCAAGTATGAAAAAAATCAAATTACTATTACTTTAAAAATCTTTAAGAAGTGTAGGTGAATATGGATTATTTGAGAAATACTTTTTAAAAAGTATTTATTAGAGTGAGCAAATAATTTCAAGTTGAATATGCTCTGATCATCCAAGAAATAAACTAACAAGGAAATCTTTTATTTCTGTAAAATATATTAGATGTTACACTTAAAGTATTAAAGACCATATAGATATTAAAATACACAGAGCAGTAAGTCAACATAAGGTTTGCATATAAAAAGATGTAAAAGATTATCAGGTAATAAATAAATCTGCCAATTAGACCCATTAGCAAGAAATAACAAAAAATATTATTCTCTAAATTATCTGAGGTAAGTAACAGTGTGATTAGAATCCACTATAAAACCTACAATAGAGTTAAAAATAAAACAAAAGCATAAAGGCAACAGACACTTTTCCCTCTGAATATGTCTAAGTACATTTTATCTACACTTGCAATTACACTGTCCAAGTGGGTGCCTCACACCAAAAGTGGTAAGTCTGATATTAGCATTCTGGACTGCAGAGTAAATTGGAGGAAGTCGATGGGTCTGTTACCATGGAAGGGAAACTCACGTTCAGAGGATGGTGACCTGCTTGCTGAGCGGATGCACACGAAAGCACAACAGAGTACAGCCACACCTAAAGACACCTGAAGTTTGATATGAGGCATCATGATGTAAAGGAGCCACGTGTCTTTGGAAAGAAAGAAGATCCAGCACTGGACATCTGTACTGTCCCTGCAATCAGCCTGAATTCAGCCAGAGTTCAAGATGCCTAAAAATCCCATTCTTAAGGCATGCAGTTAAAACGCATTGCTAAGTTGGTCCTACAGCCCTTCAAGGAAGGAGCTTGAGATGTCTTCTTTCTCCTGTTATCATACAAGGGCAGATGGGATATCCAGAGATCCCTCAAAGCACCAGGCAACTGTCCATCAGCCAGAGACGTGTTCTCTGAAGTTACTGCAAGCAGTGCATCTGGGTTTTCTGCTAGGAATATCAGCTGAGGTGCCCTAGGGAGCCTTGAGGGAACTCTTGCAGGAGATGGATGGCTAATATGAATTGGGCTCACTCTGGTACCACTTTAACCATATAGATTCAGCCAGGATCTTTTCCTGATGACACTCTTATAATTTATTGGTAGGGTACTTTAAATGACATAGATAACAATTATTTTCTTACTTATAAAGGTCAGGCTGAGGTTGTTCACATTCAATGGTAGCATGTAGTGCATCAATTTCTTGTTCATTGTGAAATGCTTTTGTATCTTGAACAGCAAAGTAAGTCTGGAATGAATAGAAAGGTGCAAATAAGACAAACATAATGACATATACAGGTTACTAATCTGCAGATATTCACACTTCAGTTCAGTGTGAAGTATATTTATTAGCTTCTACATAAGACCTCATATTTCAAATAAGATACAACTTCAAATGTTTCCATTTGGGCACCTTCTTACATTATTTGTATAAATCCCTGCAGTGTCTCACAAATCAGGTTACCTTGAAAGCGCACAGAAACAACAAAAGCTTGTGCATTATCTCTGTAATCTGCATGCCTATACTGAGCACAGGCAAAACTACAAATTACTGTCTTTTAAAACTTCTCATAAAACAATGGAACATTAAGAAAAATGAAGAATTCAACTGGCAGAAACTTAAAATTACACAAGTGAGTATATCTGCTTGCACATACACGCATGAAGTTATAATGTAGTCTATGTAAAAAGTTAAAGGTAAGCTTTGATTTAAAAAGAAAATGCATAACACTTTATTACTTTATGACTGGATTCACCATCCAAACTAGCTGTTGTAACAAAACAGGTTCCATCCCCTCTACTACTTGATAGAAATATTAAGTCACATGGGAACGTTTCATCTTCTTTTACCATCACAATATCTCCAACCTAAGAAAAAAAAACAAATAAAACACATTTGTTATTTATGTCAAGTCCAAATTTCAGATTTCAAGAACAAAATTCTAGGTTCACTCAAATCTCTTGAAAAATCATTAATTTTATTTACACCAGGATTTTACCACCAGAGTAAAGAACTACAGAGGTATCTCTCAAAACTAGAATTACACCCTGTGGAATGAATAAGAGGATTACCGTGTACTAGCTTTCCTCTGAAAATCTCAAATCATTTTATAGATAATGTCTTATTATCCTTTACAACATTATTTGAGGTGTGAAAGATACCATCCTCACTGTTTCAAAAAGAGCTTGAGGTTTGAGGTACTCTTATCGGCTCTTGAGAATCAAGCATCAAGCTCATTCAGTTACCCATAGCTACAGACATCCCTTTGCACACAAATGTTCGCTATGCCTGTCTCTCATATCATTTAGTTCTTTGAAATATGATCTCTGAAAAGCAAGGCAGGGGAGAAATGGAGAAAATATAGCTAACACATTACTTAATGTAATACAAATTCCAGTTATCCTGTACGTTATTATTTGTATTTGGGATGGATAACTGTTGAGGCACACACATGTAGTGTTCAGCCTATGATTTCTTAATTGTTTTTTATTACTTGGAAAGCCAAGGCAGAAGCTATTTCACTCAAAGGGAAAGGTCACAGCAGGAAGGCCAAATAGGGCAAAGCAGAAAAAGATATTCCTAACAAAGATATTAGAAATAAAGAAATAACAAACAAATATCTATCAGTTTTGCTAAGTTATAAAAATAAATAAGGATGACAAGTTCATCTGCTTACAAAAAAATTACAGACATTGATTTCTGAATACAACCTTCAAAACACCAGGAAGGGTATTTAGAGGAATTCAGAAGCCCAATGGAAAGGCTGTGATTTGACAAGCAATATGCTGCATTCTGAATATGCTGTATTTTCTCTACAAGAAATAGGACAAAGTGATAGGGTTGTCTACGATAATCAGGCTTAAAGAAGTTATTAATTTGTTACCTACAGAGAACCAAAAATGGAGAGAAGACAAAAGACAAATCATGAGTGAAACACTCCAAGTTAAAAAATGGAAAATGAACAGTTATGATGAAGGAGTTAACAAAACAAGGATAAAGCAGAAACATCTGTAGCTTTTAAAAATATTTTATTCAGAGGTATTCAATTAAGAATCAGTATATCTTAGGTATAATATCTGTGAAATGTAGTAGGTACTACAATGTTTTCTACATGGCATTTCTGTAAAATTTATTTTACAAGAAGTATGATGTAAAGCCTGACTCCTAAAAGCTGTTAAGTCATAGTTACTTACTCTTAATTTTCGGCTTTGCTTTCTAACCAGTTTACCATGTTGAATGAAATGAACAGGGCATTGGTTCATTGCATTGTCAGCTTTATGTCGAAGCCAATCTTCATAACCCTAGAAAACAGTGAAATGGATCGACGGTGATGCACATTTAGCTATAAAGACACAGAACAGATCTATCTCGCAAGAAAAATTTTTACAATGATCCTTGAGCAAAATAAAGAAGAAAAATAAAAGATTCTCACAAGAATGAATGAAATTGTGATACATATGTCACTAATACAGTCATGTTGGACATATGTGAAAAAGAGCACTTACAGTTACAATTAGTTAACAAAAATACATATTTTAATGAAGATATTTTGATGAACAAGGGTGTTTACAATGTAGAGAGCAGTTCCTAGTGTTTAAGCGATTGTTTCTTCCTCTTAGGCTATTGACTCTTGAGTAAGTGTACGTACAAAAGTTGTTGCTCAGAAGATAAAATGTAGAAAATAATGTACTTTGGAAGGCTTGGACTCCATATTGAAAGATGATAAGGTAAGGGTATGACTGAAGGCGGTCATATTTCATGACTGCTTTACAATTATGTTGAACACTTTAGCCCTATGTACAACATATCAATCCTCAAGAACATTGCTTGAGGAAGAGACTTTGCAGACTAACCAATTTGGATTGCTGAATTATCCTATCAATTTGTGATGTTATACCAACAGACAAAGTAAAGGATAGGGAACTCGCCATTCAAAACATCCTGCGCTGGGCTAAAGATCGTGATTGACAAAGACACTAATGGGAAGAGATGGAAAATGCTACTTGTATGCCATAGAAATTTTACATCTAATTCTCTTAGGCACATTTGAAAATCCAGCATAGAACACAAGTATCACTACCCTAAACGCACTCGGAGATAAGCCAGAATTAATGGAGTCTTTACAACTTTAGTGTAATATTCTTCCAGGAACTGGTACAGCTGTTTAAGCAGGCCCCAAAGTCTAAATCCGTTGTGTCAGGACAGACTTAAGGAGATACAATTGTAGTCCTGTGCACAACATGTCATAATCTAGGCTTTGTTTGACTCCTGTCAAACTGCAGTGAGAGATTGTGAAGGGTAACATCCTCAGAGCGGGAGAGCCTCGCCTAAAATGCTAGCTATTGCATTTACCAAACCTCTGCTCATCAGCAAGATCTGAATTCTACCGCAAAGTACAGTCAACTGTGTGTAGCCAGTAGCATGAAGAAATAAAAACATGGGTTTTTATAGTTTATTTGAAAACTAATGAACAATAAATTTGCATCTATCATAAAGACAATGAAGTACCAACGGTGGTAATCAGTTATCCTATTCAGGGCCAATCAAAATTACCCCTTTTTTTAATTCATTGTTTCAATCGTCATAGTTTTGGAGCATGACCAAAGGTAGGTAAGGAATACAGAATCTCCATGTAAGTTTTGAGCTACAATGTGGAGCGTTCTGACATAGGAATTTCTGACACAGGATATTCAACTTCACAATCAGTCCACCAAATAATATATTATTTTTGAAGTATAGCATGAGAGATCTTTCTTATGCCCATATAAAGCGCTAACTCCTTCGAGTGGACAGGCAAAAGATTATGAACATCAAGCTGCTTGCACAAATTTTCCTAACACGTTTACATCCCATTCACTTATTCTATTTCCTTTAAGAAAGAAATGGTTGATGTGTGGACCTAAAGATCCAGTGAAGACTGAACCATGAAACAGAACTCACTGTGCCATTGCGCTCTTACACTGATAGCTGTCCTGCAGGAGCAATTATGATTAGACTGGACTGAAGTCAACAAGCACAATAAACAACAGAACCACTGTAAAGACCATTATTTGTGACTATTACTTCAGGAGCCCGCAGTTTTAGAAACTACTCTGTGCCTATGGTGAGACGCCACAGTAAATGCAAATGAAGAGCACTGTAGCCACACAATGCAAAGCACTGCTCACAAACTCACTTGCTAGTTCAGATTTAGTAACATTTTGGATGAAATAACTTTGTACTGGCAGGCTTTATGCCAGGTCAGGTATTCCTGCAGCTGGCCTGAAACCAGTAAGTCAACAAATTCTGCTCTGGTAAAACCAGCGGAGGTGGAATCATATGCTCATACTTGATCCAGATCAATAGCGGAAGCCCTGATAATGAACAGATCTGACAGTCCTGATTGCAGTATGCCTGCCATGGATTAAAGCATTCTATAATCACCTTAGATTAATTGATTTCAATGAGATTCAATCTACATTTAAGTGCTCACACTAACCAGCACCACTGCAGTATTAGGATTCTAGGTGGAAAACTACCACAACCCATTACTTTTGATACTACTAACTTAAAAGTGAAATGGCAGTTCAGTTTCTTACCAACATAATGCAATTCTACTTGAACAGAACAACTTTTATTAGGATCTTTTAAACTCACTTGGCAAGAACTGATTTGTAAAAATCACTTCAATTTTGTAGATTAATTTTCCAATTAAATGGGAGGAACTACTATAACATATACTCAGTACTAATCTGTAGGAAGTACTGCAGCTACCATAATAAACTGCAGTTATAACCAAAATATAGTGAAGATTTCAGCCAAAATAATTTTTATTATCTGTTCATACTGTAAAGGCTAAGGACATCTTAAAGCTAAAAGCAGATTTATCTTACAAACTTCTGTAGTTCTTACTAACCTCATTTTGAATCATTATGGAAAAAGGTTAATAGGATGTGGACTACTATTTAGAAACAAACAGAAAAAAGTCAAAGCGTGCTAAGTAAACACAATAATGGAAATGATAGCTTGGAACACAGGAACGCTGAACTTATAAAATAATTTCGAAGCTGCTGTTGAACATCAAGGAAAGACATCATCATTTAGCAACCAACTGCTACTTTAACTACAGAAACAAAAAAAAATACTCTCCGAAAGTTCACCAAAATCATTTGTTAGGGACAGCCCTAAGACAGTGTGACATAAAAAAGCAGGGAAAAAACGAAATATAAAATAAATAAAGTATCTCACCTGTTTGATAGCTGTTACAGTGATGACAAATAAAAGCGGAAGTCCACTTGTAACAGGACTAGTAGGGGTATCAATAATCAACTGTAACAAAAGGAACAAATATTTTCTGGTTCTATTTTTGTGAATGTGAACAGTCAATTTTTCAAGCAAAATGTTTCAAGTAATCTTTTAGCCAATATGCAACCGAGCACCAAGGACATTTAATTAAGAAGAGCAGTATTCTAATTCTATTTTAAGAAAATATATATCACTAGCAAAAATTGAAAAATTATAACTATAAGCTATGATAAGCTATAATAAGCTATATAATAAGACATATTTATATCACATTTGCATATCACATTTGATATCAGCTATTTAGATTTTTCTTCAAATAGTGCTCATGAAAAACACACACAAAATTCACTTCAAAATAGGGACTTACAGGACTGAAACTTTTTTCATGAAAGAGGAGTTAATAAAGTGATATTTCTTTTGGAAAGACCCATCTCTAACCATCTTGTCAGGGTAGTTTATTAGATGACTAACTGCTACAGCTTTTCTTCAATCAGCATACCTCATTGCAATTCGGAA